AAGCGGCCAGGCTTATTATATTTTATATGTATAAGTTTTATATAACTTGTTTTCCTTAGCACTTTAATTTAAATATTATTTTATTGGTTTTATGTGTGTGTGGGTATTTTTGTTTCTTTTCGGTTTTTCTTGTTGTTGTTGTTGAAGAGAGCATCTAAGCTTCGGCCTGCCGAAGAATGCCGTTCCAGGATCTTGCATTTCCCATTTTTAAAATTTCCGTTTTTCCCAACTAGTAGTAGTAGGGTTTTGTATATTAAAATTGTAGTCTTTGTAATTTGTGTGTATTCTTGGAGTAAAGGCTTTGTCAGTTTCAGGAGGGTCGCTAGTAAACATTTTGTATATAGTTAGGAGAAGAATTGTTCTTGTTTAGAGATGGCCAAGGCTTTCAAAGGTTAAGCAGTTTTGAATTGTCGGGGTGAGGGTTTCATTTAGCAGGAGCGTGGTCCATTTTCGGTGGTTGGATGCCTTGCTTGGACATTTGATATTTTTGCAAAAGGGTTCAAATTTCTTTCTTTTACGAATATTTCATCATGGTCGCCATTAGAGCATTTAAACTATAGCATACTTTTTCGGGCAACCCTTTTGCACATCTCGTCGTGGCTTATGCGTGAATGGTTATACATTAGTGTGTGTGTGTTTATGTGTTTGTGTATGTGTGTGTGTGGGAGACTGGGTTTGTGTGGAAACCGTTTTGGAAGTTTTATATATTTTAGATTATTTTCCTGCTCGAGTTGTAAGTCACGTAGAAAAGTATAAAGTAAGATGCATGCGGTTCACCTTATTCTTGCCCCTATATACCATATATCTCTATATATGTTTCTGATCTTGATCGGTAGAGTCGACAGGTAGTTTTGGTTTACACCTACGAGATTGAACTGCGCACTAAGACTTTTTGTATCTGTATCTGTAAACTGCATCCGTTTCCGTGTCTGTGTTTTTGTTTTCATGTATTTATGCTTTTCTTTCTGTTATATATTTATTTAAATATATACTGAATTGTAATCGTCATTGTTTTATTTTGTTTTTTCTTTTTTAGTTTAATTATTTATAATTTTTGCACATACACTTACACATACAACATATGTATAGCTGCTGCTGGAAATCGGGACGGGGATAGGGGCCATTTGGGGCAAGGGGGATACAGTGTAGAGTTGGTCCAAATTGCTCATAACCTTGTCTAAATATTTTCACTTTGTTTGCAGTTTGTTATTTTCGTTTCTAAATATTTTTCATTATTCTTTAGGTACAAACAAGCATTTTGCCTTTTGGAACTTGTTCTCGTTCTCCGTCTCTTGATCTGAGCAGAATCAAGAACTATATCTTCTATATATCATTCTCAACCAACTTTCGGAAGGGGGAAGCATTTAATTGACTGCCAAAAAGTACACTAAATTTTCATTTCATTCATATTTTTTTTTTGTTTTTCCACCGAAAAGCATTTCTTTTTCAATGTCCTTGCAATGTCCTTACTTCAACATACATATGTATACTTAGTATTTTTTGTGTAAATTTGTTTTAATTACTATTTAATTGAATTTTTAGCCACCAAGTTTTACATTGCAAGGACATTCATATTTTCGGCCAGCCGAATTAAATATATATGTATCTGTATATATATTTTTTTTTTATTTTTTGGCTGAGGTTTCGATTCAGTTTTTTTTTGCTTAACATTTTTTTGTCATTTTTATTTTTTTACATTTTGTAAAACACCTAGAGTTTTCATTTTTTTTACGATTTGTAGTGTGGTATCTTTAAGATAAATATTTATGTATATATATATATATATATATTTGTATATATATATTTTTTGTATTTAATGTATATGTATAGTTGGTTTTTATTGGAAAGTTTTTTTTTTGTTTTTGGTTGATTTTGTTTTTAAATTCAAGTTTTAGTCTTTATGTTTTGTCATTCAAACAAGGGAAGTTGGTGGCATGAACAATTTATAAAATGCTGTGGGTTCTCCAGCGGCTGCTCCTCTCTTCCTTGAAAGGATCACCCGCCATAAGAATAAATAATAAATAAACGCACACAGCTGCAATGCAGTACAGTAGTTGTAGTTTTTGTTTTTCTTTTTTATAGTTATAGTATAGTAGTAGTAATAGTTTAGTAGTATAAGGCAACAAATCAATTTGATGTGTTAGCTAATTTAGAGTGGTTCGTTTTTTGTTTGTTTCTCGTTTTTTTTTCTTTTATTTTTTATTTTGTAGGTAGATCGTACATCTAAGATTTAGCAATCAAAGGATTTTATTTTCGTTTCTTTGTTTCTTTTTTTTTTAGTTAGTTAGTTTTTAGTTTAGTTGATTTGATGCATATACACGAATAAACTTACATTTAGCCAGCTAGTTTTCGATCTAACTACTGAAAATACACACATCGAGTGGGGAGTCGATACACACATAGCCACAATAGTTTCTGCGGTCTGGTTTATATAAATTTTTTAGTTAATTGGCTTACCGACTACAACAAACATACACATAACTTAGAAAGTTAAGAGGAGAGCCTTTCTTTTTTTTGGTTTTTTTGAAGGAAATGACTACAATGTGTGTGTGTTTTTTTTTGCAATTACAATGCACAATTAATTACGAGTATTTGCTGCGATATGCTAGACATCCAAATGTACACTGAATAATCATATTTATATATTTTTTCACATAAATATATAAAGTATGTATGTATTTTAGGTTTAAATCCTTTTACTTTTTGCTCAAATAGTGCTTGAAAAACACACACCAAAAAAAAAAAAGTATATATCCGCAATATCGGTTACTCTTTAACTTTATCCAAGGTCCAGCTTGGTCTACACTTTTCTGATACTATTTCCCAATTATGTTCTCTTCTATTCCATTATTATTATTCATATTCATGGAGTGTCCAATTATCAAGCATATAAATATTACATACAGAAATTTACATCGATCATAACTTTAACATCTTCCACAAATTTTGTTGTGAAAGTCCCGAAGGACATTCAGCAACCATCCATCCAACCAACCAACTGGCCGAAAATTGTGAATAATCAAAGAATTGAATCACCCACAGTGCCTTCTAATTGAGGGCCGACATCGAACGAAAAATATCCAACCAACCATCACATTCCCATCACCATCCGAGTATAAGCAGCAAAATCACCAGAAATATCACCGCCAGAAACAGCGCCGGCTGCAAAATCCAATTGACTGGCCATGGAAGTCGCTCCTGCGGGCATCCTGCCGCCGCCGTTGCTGCGCCAGGACTTTGTCATGTCCTCCACAAATGGAAACCAACAAAAAAATTCCAAAAAATACAGTCAAGCTTCAAAATCAAGTCAAAGCAAAAGATCAAAGTAATGATGAAATTATCGATAAATATCGAAAAAAAATCGGAAAATATAACTGCTAACAGTAAAGTTTTATTTGAGTTTAAAGTTGTGTGGAAATTATGGGGTAATTATAATTAAAATAATAATTTAATTTCAAAAATGGTTTTGATAAAATATTGATTTATCGATAAATATCGATACATAAAAAAAGTTCATGTATTTGAATCTTTTAAGGAAGTTTCATCAAAGAGATTCTTCGATATTTGTCTCCCCTGGCCTGTATATATTTTGCTCTATCGAGGCCAGCCTGTACCGATGTGGCGAACTGGCAAATGGAATTAGGGTACTGGGACCCACCGAATCGAACTCGCATGTAAGACCATCACTGTTGCATGCAACAAGGTATGTGTATGTGTGTGTGTGTGTCCGTGGCCAAAAATTTGTTTTGCGTAATTAGACGTAAATTTCGGTTGAAAACGAAACTGAAATCAACTCAACAGCGAGCTGGGAGCTCGAAGCTTGGAGCTAGGAGCCAAGAGTTTATCCGGAATTTATCCTTGACAGAAAGGACACTCGCATTGCAGTGACACGCTGCCATACAAACTGATTTCGTTTCTGCAAAATTCCATGGCATGGCACTGCATTCATAATTGGCGAGAGAATGCTGCTTTGTTATCTAAATAAGCAAATTATTTTTCATTAATTAGAGACTAGAGGGGGAGAGTCATATGGCAAGATTTCTCTGTAAAATAATAGCTTTGTGAATTAGGTTGGTATTTTAGTCTTGAATTACCAGCCCGCACTCGAGCTCTGTCTTTCCAATTAAACTTGAAATATTAAACAAATGAATTACATTCTTTTTTTTTTTTTTGTATAATGTCTGACGTTATATTTTATATATATATATTCTTCTTGTTTGTTTGTGGTGTGTATGTATAGTATGGTATGCGTGTGTACATAAATAAAAAATACTTAAAAGGTAACAAAGAAAATCATAAAAAAAAAAAGAATTACAACGAATTAATCGAAAAAAAGACGAGAAGAGGTGAACAAATAATAAAAAAACAAAAATGTCAAATGTCGTCAAATCTGTGAAGAACCTAAAACTTAAAAGAAGACTTACTGGCAACCAAAAAAAACCTAGCCTATCGGAGCTAAGACAGAGTCTGTGATTTTCCAGCTTTTCCAGTGACTTTTCCGGCTTCGAAATGTGAACTTCCAGTGCTTTTTAAATTGGATATTTTTCATTTTCTATTTTTTCTGGAGGAATTTCGCTAATTTTTATAGAGAAACTCACCTCTGTTACAGTTTTTTTTCTTTTTTTGGAAAAATGTATGTTTCTTAGGAAAATTCACCTTGCATTTTTTGGTGGGGAAACTAGCCCCGGTTTTTAGACATTTTCCGGTTCTGGCAACTTTCTTTCGCAACAGTGACAGACGAGGGCGTTCAAGCGCTGGCCGATGGCCGACCAAACGGTCATCGACATGGAGGACACCTCACAGCTGGAGGAGGCGTCCTGCCGCTGCAGCTGGTGCCGCTCTCCCGGCATCTCGCCCTCATCATCGTCCTCGTCGTCGTCCTCCTCGTCGTCATCGTCAACGTTCCTAGGATGCGCCCCATCGCCCTTGTCCTGTACAAGAATAGTTGCACCTCGAGGCATGTCCTCCGGCTCCTCCTGCTGCTGCTGCTGCCTGCCTAACCCCTGTTGTCAAATCTTTGGACCCTCCAATGGCACCGACGAGGAGCCGCTGGCCAGGTCACAGGCCGGCACATCCTGGGCAGCTGCACTCTGCAGGGTGTTGTTGCTGGGATGCCGGCTGCTGTCGTTGGAGGAGTAGCGTCCACCGCTTCCGGGCACATCCAAGCTGTAGGCGCGATGCCGTTGCAGGGGATCGGTGAGGGACCGACCTGCTCCAGTTCCAGTTACAGGCTTCCCAATGCTACAGCACTTTCCAGTGGCTGCTCCACCCTCCTGGCCATCGGAGACACCGTTGGCGTTGTTATTGGCCCTGCCCTGAGAGCTGGCGTGCGACTGGGTCTGCGACTGAGATCCTCCCGATCCCGGACACGGACTGCTCCGTGTGCTCCCAAATCGTTTGTTGTTCTTGTCAAAGCTGAAGCTGAAATAGTCCGAGAACTGGCGCAGTCGGGACTTCCACGAGCTGCTGCCACTGGCCGCTCCGGGGCCAGCTCCTCCGCCGCCAACCGGGGATCCACCCGGACCGGGGGCCACGCCACTGCCGCTGCTCCGGGTGCTGCCGTTGCTGGCCAGGATCTGTTCGCCGACGGCGATAGGGGCCGAGATATTGCCGTTCGACGAGGAGGTGCCGACCACCACCAGCTGGGTCACATGGGCGGTCATCTGGGTGGCGTCCGACGGCAGTTTCTCCTCCATGGCCACCTCCCCCTCGCCCTCGGAATCGGCCTCGGTGCGGGCCAGCAGCTCCTTCAGCTGGACACTGCCCTGGAGATTGGTATTGGCATTGGTGTCGTGCGGCGGCATACCCACCACCGTGCCCCCTGTATTGGTGGTCTCCAGGCTGCTGCGGATGTGACGATGGCCGTAAAAGACATTGCTGTCGGAGATGACCTGGGGCAGGCCGTCCGATAGCCGGCGATTGTTGCCCCCGGAACTGTACTGGTCCAGGCTGACGGCCCGGTTGTTGCCGAAGTGACACCGCTGGTTGCCATGATAGCCGTGGATGTTGCCGTAGGAGTTACGGATCCTTTGGCCGCCACCACTGCTGCACAGTTCCCCGATCATTGAGGGGCGCTTCTCGCGCGACGATTTCCGGGACGTGGAGTGCGAGGATTTGCTCCGGTTGCTGCTGCCCTCCGTGTCCACCTTGAACTTGGACGTCTTCTCAGCCACCTAGAAGATAGGGACTTATAATACTGACCAAAGAAGGCCTTCTTTCAGACTTACATCCACTTCGGTGGCCGTTTCCGAGTCGCCACTTTCGCTGCCCTCCGGCAAGTCATGCAACTCCGCCGCCATGCCGCCGGGCTCGTCCACCGACGTCCGGGATGCCGATTTCTGTGACGGTATGCTGCGCCGCGATTTGACACTGATTCCGGATCCGGAGCGCGGCATCTGCGGTGAGACACTGCCACCGGCCCCACCACCGGAGCCGGATCCAGTGCCGCCGCCACCGGTTGTGGATCCTCCGCCCCCGCCCGAGCTCTGGGAGTTGCCCTGGGTCTTGTCGAGACTCAGTTTGTCGCTGGCCGCCCCGGGAGTGCTGACAAGGGCGGCATTCGAGTCGATGGTGCCGCTGTTGCTGTCCGAGGTGGCGGAGGTGTTGCTGTCGGCCACCGACTTGCGGGTCTTGGTCTGGGCATCGTTGAGGCGTCTGGGAATAGTTTGCAATAATAAGTATACGTAATATTAAGTATACGCCTAGTAGCCGAAACTCACCTGTAATACTCGAGGGCTATGCGCACGGGTATGATGATCAGGTCCGTAAGCTCCGGCACCAGTTCCCCGAGGGCCTCGAACAGCGGCAAGAGGACGAGCCCGATGAAACGGACCTGGGAGCCCGGCTTGCTGACCTTGTCCGGGTCCATGAAGGGTGTCACCGGCAAGCCCTCGGACTTCTCGGCGGCGCTCTGGGCGAAGAACTCCTGCAGGAGGCGATCCAGCCAGGGCTCGGCCACGTCCATGGGCCGGGCCTCGTTCGAAATGTCCGCCACCTTAATGAGGATCATGCAAAGCTACGAAACAGACAAGGATAAAGGACACTTGGTCATCAAGAGATTAGCGAGTATCCATACCAGATTAATGTGAGCACGATTGCTGTAGTCGAAGACGGGCGTTATCTCCATGAACTGGGTCAGGATCTCATTGTGACGGGCCATGTCGGTGGCCAAAATGCAGCGGATGATGCCCTCGCGAATGGTGCTGCAATGGAGGAAGAGGATATCGCGGATTAGGAACTCCACAAAATCATTGCCCTAGAAACCGAGAGTTGCGATTGAGGCACAATATAGAGGCTGGGATTTGCAGTTTACGGGGCAAAACAAAAAAAAAAAAACAAAGCCAATGAAGGCAAGTGCTTTTCCGGGAAAAGGATAGCCTGGCAGGCAGGTGCGGCAGGCAGGCTGGCTGGGGGTGGCAGGCAGGTGGAAAACCTGTCGACTGTCGACTGACAAATGCAACGCGTAAAATATCAAATTGCATTTCGTTTTATTTGAAATGGGTGGCAGTGGCAGTGCCAGTGGCAGTGGCAATGGCAGGCCAAGAAAGACAGAAGAGTGTCGGCTGCAGTCAAAAGAAAAGCCGGGAAAATCCCTCTTTTAGCTTTGGCACCCCTTTCGGTTGCAGCTGGCCCCCTCCCTTGTCCCCCCCTGCCACGAAATCTACAAGTTGAAAATTGAATTTTTCGTTTTCGTTGCAACGATATTGACGTGGCACGGTGTGTGGTGGCAGTGTGGCACAATTTTCCGTCTCACTTCCGCAGCACTTGCCACCTGCCGTTGCACTTAAATGCCAAATAGAGCAAAAAAATATGTATATACATATATCTTTATATTAAATATTATATTTATTTCAGCAATATTAATGGCACTGAGTTTGCTGATAGAATTCTGATGGAAATTGCAGTTCTATCGATGAACTAAAGCATCTTTGAGATAACTAGTATCTTCTTGAAATAATCTCGAAACAAAGCCCCCTTAGAAAATCCAACTCCATAAGCTCATTAAATAGCTCGGTTGGTTCTGTAACTAAAGCGATTTTCTGCCTTGATTTCGATACACGTATGACTTTCATGTAATCTTGCATAAAATGCAGAAATCTATACCAGGAGGGGGGAGAGCTGAGGGCTGCAGGCTCTCTATGATATAAATCCACCTTTTATGCCATTTATGCCAAATATGCCAAAATGGAGAGATGTAGAGAGACCACTATAGCCCTCCACTGTGCGGCACCTTGTAATGGCTTTCAATTAATTAATACCTGGTGGTAGCTACTGCAAGCTGCTATCTGGTATCTGGTATCTGCCAGCCAGCCAGCCATACTGTTCAAATTGGGATTTAATTAATAACAAAGCAAATATTCGGAATATGCGGCACTGGTCGGTTATGGTCCGGGCAGAGAACGAGTTAGGTGGATGGGATGTATTAGTCGAGAATTGATTTGCAGTGTCCAGGATTACGGGTTGCACATCAAGGACACGATGTCCTCCATATTGGCCATGAAATTCTTTGAATACTAACTTTGACTTTGACTTTGAATTTGGAATTGGCATTGGAATTGGAATTTTGGCCTTAAAACTTGCTTCTAATTAAAGCTGGCAAATGCAGTGATTATCCCATTCTTTTGTGTGCCTTGGCTTTATGATGATGATGAATTGTGGAGGTGCCACCAAGTGGCAAGTGGTGAATGGTGAATGGTAAATGGTAAATGGAAAATGGAATATTTCCTCCCCCACCCCCCCCTTGCCAGTTAAGGCAAAAGTTTTACGCCCAAAAACGGCAACTATTATGCGCTAATTATGGCTAAATAATTGCATGAAATGCGCCAAGCACCAAACCAAAAACTCAACTCGAAACTAATTTGCGAAGCGTTGGCAGCCAAATCTGCCATCAGCAGATACTTTTGCCTTTCAAACAATACACTGAACAACAAAAATCATAAATTTAGAAAAAGAGTTATCAGCAGAAGTAGTAAGAACCAGAGTTTCAAGTTTATTATAATTTTAAATATATTTCTAGGCTTTAGAAAACCTCATCATAAGAATCTATTCTTCATCTATTTCTCTAGTTTTTTTTTTGCAGTGCCTTTCTTATGATTTTCCCCCCTAAAACATCTAAGCTCCCGAAAACCTCCTCTTTGATGATTTATTTTTGGTGGAAGCTAACCAGCTGGGTTTCAAGTTTACCCCAAGCCCCAATGCCGAATTTTTCCCCGAAATCCCCAGCATCCATAGCATCTCTCCAGCACATCATCATCCTTCATCCAGTTGCTGTTTGTTGAATTTTAATTGAATTTTTATTTTTTGATTTTATCCAGAACCAGAACAACCAAAACCCCTTGACCATAAACCTCCGTTCCGGATGCGGTTTCTTAACCAAACACTTTTCATATTGATAGTTTGCTTATTAAAGGCAAAAAAAAAAAGAAAAAAAAATCTCAATTTAATCTCAATTAGCCAAACGAAATTGCATTCCAGATTAAATGCGAAAAAAAAATGTAATGATTTAAGAAAATTTCAAATAAAAAGCCAGAAGGTCAAAATGATTTACAATCGAGGTGGCTTTTCAATCACGTGTTTTGTGTATTTCTTCCGCCTCTGTGATTCAAACATAATCCAAGCTTAATCAATCCAATAAGCTAATCGCCACTAAGCTCTGCTCTCTTTCTTCTTTCCAAGTGCCATCTCCCTCTACACACACACATACAACTGTCTCACTCGCTCTTCCCTTTCATTCATTTCTGTGCCATTTTATCTCCGGTTCGGGAAAAAGTAAACTTGACTCTCAACTTTATTAAAAACCCAATCGCAGTCACACTGAGAGAAATACTAGGGGGTTTTTTTTGAGATTTTAAATAAATTAAATCGATGGGAGTAGCTGTGTAATATATTTAAATAATTTAGAAAATAAAGTTGAGCTTTAGAAATATTTTTGAAATGTTTTAAATAAAAATATATATGTATAATAAAAAAATGTTATAACTTAATACTTTTTAAATTTTCTTAAAAAATCTTAAGCTTTTAAAAAATTCCTATAATTAACTTTATTTTAAAAGCTCCTCAAAATATTTCTCTCAGTGCACTTCCCATTGTATAGGTGTGAAGGGCGAAAATCATTATAGAAGGTAGTCGCAACTAATTTCGTTTTGCATAGCAGCCTCCAATGGGGGCGAACGAGAGGCGAGACTTATAGCTCTCCCACCGCCCCCCCCCCAGTGTAAGGGGGAGGGGAGGAGGGAGATGATTAATTGATTACGCGTGGGCTCTGATTTAACGGTAAACGTTAAACCTCGCCAGCGGGGATGCATCGCTCTCTCCTATCTCTGGTTTCATCTTAATGATTTGGCCTTGTGACGGAGCACATCTACTCTATATACTATAGTACATACATATATCATCAAAAATATATATATATATATAGGAAAGTATATATACAATATGTATTAATGGGAGAAGTACATGATTTTCGAGTTCATTGAGCGGAAATCAAAGTTTGTGATTTGAATTCTATTTGATTTACATAAATAATCAAAATTCGATGACCCACAAAATAATTTGACATTTTTGGGCTTTAATCGAGTTTGTTTAAAATTGTGAAAGATGTTATCGATTTTTATCGATCTTGGGATTTTTAATCATTTTAGTTTTTAATAAATATAAGTGGCAAACTTAATAAAATAGATGGTTTAAAAAGAAACTAATAGTTTAAAAGAATTTATCCAAGCAGACTCAAAGAAATTGTTGAGTTTATCGATTTTTAATCGATTTTTTGATAAAATATTTCAACTAATGAAAGATTTTATTGATTATTAATTTAATTTTGAATTATAGTTTATATTAATTATTAAAATACCTTTTACAAACTAGAGCTAGAAAGGAAACTAAATGCTAACAGAATTTATATGAAAAAAATTTATCGATTTGAAATCGATTTTATAGATAAACCAACCTAACCTATTTTTTCAAATCTATGTAAAATATTTCTATATAATTTTGAGAACTCCTCCCATCACCCTCGATCCAATGCCAATACTCTGCGATTTGAATGTCATGTGCGGTTATCAGGGGGCTTTTTTCGATGGGCTTATCGCCAGCCCGGATTTGGGTTCGGATTAGAACTTGGACTTGGGAGAGTGACGGAGTGCCGCCAGTAAACAAACGCCAGTGTAACGAAATGAACGCGAATATTACAATATTCTTGTGCCTATTAGCAGTGTTTTTCATTGGAATTCCCCCGACAAATGGCCAGAACGAGTGCCTGAATCTGGTGGACAAGAATGTGGACAAGGAAGCAGCGCCGTGCGACGATTTCTATGCCCATGCCTGTGGGAATTGGTATGGGGGGGAGTACCAGCGGAACTTTGGAGTCCACGATGCCCGATCTATGTGGGTGGCCAAGCTGAAGGAGAAACTGATCGAGCACTTTGAGTCCGATTCGGATAAGCACTCCCCGCTGAGCACTTTCTATCGAAAGTGTTTCTCCGATCTCGATAGCAAGCAATCGATAACAGCCTACAACGAGGCCATGGTCGGGAGCGGTGCCAACTTCTCCATCCTCGGACACAACAAATCGAGCGACTGGGATTGGATTCTGGCGAATGCCGAGCTGAGGAAGTACGGAGCTCAGGGACTCTGGCGCCTGCTGGTCCAGGATAATTGGCAGTCGGCGGACCAGAAGATATTCTACCTCCTGTCGCCGACCTTCCACCAGCTGGGCCACGACGAGCTCACCGAGTTTCTGTACGAGCGCTACTTGAAAGTCCTCCTAATCGAAATGGGAGTTCGGGTGCGGAGAGCCCAGGAGTGGGCCAGAAATCTGGTCGACTTCGAGAAGAGTCTACAGAGTCTGCTGGCCGTCGATCGGGAGAAGACTCTGGTCCTTCGAGAGCCCCAGACGCTGGTCCAGTTGGAGGAACAACTGCCGGAGCTGCAGCTACGAAAGTACTTTGAAGTCCTGCTCAAGGACATCGATTGGGATCCGAATACCCTGCTGGTGGTGGTGGATATGGACTACTTGCAGAGCTTGCAGCGCTTCCTGCGCTCCGCGGATCGGGAACTACTCTCCACATGGCTGTTGCTGAAGCTGCCCATGCACTTTGAGTTCAAATTGCACACCGACGAGAAGATTGTGAGCCAGAAGGACTACTGGGTGGAGCAGCTGAGGCACCTGCTGCCAGGACCTCTGGGGCGCTTGCAAATGGAACTGCTGCTGGGGGAAAACTATCAGGAAATCTACGACAACTCGATTCAGCAGGTATGTTGGATGTTTTTATCGATTTCTATCGACATTTATCGATTCTTCTACATAGGTGGCCTTCCTGTTTAGGGATCTGAAACAACAGTTCGAGCTTCTGCTGAACGAAACAGAGGTCTTTGACTACGACTTGGTTACCCGGACTATGGCGCGGGAAAAAATACGTGCCATGCGCCTGCTGACGCCCCGATTGCAGGATCCCGGCCATTCGATGTCAACTGGCACTGCCACGCCCCTCGGCGGCAGCTGTGATTGGAACCTGATGCAGTTATCACGGAATCGGGCCCACCAGGAGTTCCGGCAGGTCCTCGGCGAGCCGCCCGTCTCCCATGCCGGCGATCCCCTTGTGGCCAACGCCTACTATCGCCTCAGCCTGAATCGTATCGAATTGCCGCTGGGTCTGCTGGCCACGCCCCTGCTGCAGGAGCCAACCTGCCGGACGGAGGCGGAGCGAAAAGTCCGACTATCGGCCGGGCTGGGCTACATTCTGGCCCACGAAATGGTGCACGCCTTTGATTACGATGGCATTAACTACGACGCCTCCGGGCAGCTGGCCAATGGCCAGTGGCCACCAAGGGCCATTATCCGGTTCGGTCTGCGGGCCGCCTGCTACATGGGCGCCCGGTACAGTAATGCCGCGGTGACCATGAACGAGAATATAGCCGACACGGAAGGTCTGCGATTGGCCTTCGAAACCTATCGTCCCCGGCCGGAAACCAATTCGAGTTCTCCCGCAACACCGGATCCGGAACTATTGAAAACCTTCTTCCTGGTCTATGCCCAGACGTGGTGTGGCAAGAGCGTGGATCTGGATGCGGAGGATTCATCCGCCCAGAACAGTCTGCACTCCAAGCACCAGGAGCGGGTCAATAATGTTCTGGCCAACCTGCCCGAGTTCGCCGAGACGTTCCAGTGCAAGGCGGGCAGTCCCATGAATCCGGCGGCCAAGTGTCGCATTTGGTGATCGATTGGGGTAATCGATAGTTATCGTTATGGACATGTTTTATTTTTAAGGGAATTTGCAAATAAATCGAATAGGAATTGTTAAGAATTCAAGTTGAAGACAAGGTCTAATAAATTATCAAATATATTGTATTGTTAATTGTATTATATATTGTTAAATAATTATGGTTTTCTTTTAGGGAAAGTTTTTTAACGATTTATCGATAAATATCGATTCAATTGATTAAAAATTAAAATTAAATTGGTAACTCTGATATGGTTACATTGATTATGTGTCAGAATTTCTACAAAGTTTATTTATACTTTGTTTTATAGTTCAACATTGACTTTACGAATACCCGAAGCCCTTTATTCTTAGAAATGTATCGATAAATATCGATTATATTGATAAATATCTATCATTAAATTGTTAACTCGGAAATGTTTGCATTGAAAATGTGTCAGAATTTCTACAACGTTTATTTTAAATTTATTCTAGAGTTTATAATTGACTTTACGAATGCCCTAAGCCCTCTATTCTTAAAGATTTATCGATAAATATCGATTATATTGATAACTATAATTTCTTTCATTAAAGTGTTAACTCAACTGCATTGAAAATGCCTTAGAATCACAGCCATCTGGATTAGTTACTGAATTTTTCGCTACTTTCGGGCTAACACTCCATTTCTCCATGTCCATCATGGCTTTACGAGTAACCCCCCTATTTTTCTCCTTTCGCTGCGAAAAATAAAAGCAAACAAACAAACAAGTGCACTGCGTTTTTTTTTCGGTGGTGGTGTTGTCTGAAATTGGCGGTTCGCCGCAATCAAATAAAATGCAACCACGCGTAACGCGGTTTGTTGTTTGTTATGTCCACGCCCCCCCCCATCCACTCCATCGCTCCCACCGCCCACTTAGGCCACTCACATCCGACATGTGCCCCAAAAGTATGCAACAAAACGAAAGGAAAAAGGAACTAGAACATAAAAAATTGGGGGGTGTGTGGGGGAAGGTATCTATCTGTATCTTGTTTAAGCCCTGACGCATAAAAAATAAATATAAAAAAATACCAGGTAAAGCTTGTTTATGGCAATGGTATTACCATTTAATAGGGAACAAGTTTTAAGGCCATTTAAAACTTTTAATTGCCAATATAAAGTGCATGTGCCGGACGACATTACTATTCAAATAATTATGGTTGCAAGTCAATTAATTAAACAACTTTATTTGGTTGCTAACTGGAACATTTCCCTTATAGTCCCCCCCCTCCCCTCACCACAAAATTATGCACATCTCCAGCTTCGGGCCAACATTACTTTGGTAATAATCATCTTGCCTAATAATCGCAATGACAACTTCTTGCAAATTGTTTGCAAAACGCACCACCACCACCTCCTCCTCCTGCTCGTCCTTTCTAATGTCAGTTCCAACCATCCTGCCCCTGCTGGGCTCCTCATCCTTGGCATATTGTGTGTGTGTGTGTGTGTAGGTAGTGCTCTGGCATTCTCTCCGACAAGTTTTGCCATCAAAACTCCCAAAAGTATCCAATAGTTTATGCACGCCAACTTGCCAGAAAAACGACGCCCAAGAAAATGACAGAAAGGGGGGTCTGAGTGGGGAAAGGAGGGGCAGGACAATCGCTTGAGGCACTGAGAAAAATAAGTAGGTGATTTTAAAACGAATTTAAGGTATAAATTTACAATAATTAGCTTTTAGAAAGAAGAAACATAGACACTTTTAAACAAAACTTTGAAAATAAAAGAGCAAAGTATTTAAAAAATGTCTTAAATTAAAAAAAAATTTACATTTTTAATATAATTAATATTTTTAATTTATTTCCTAAACTTTATATATGATACCCGGTACTTTTTTCATCTCTATATTTTAAATGAATTGATTATTATTCAAAAATATGCTAAAGACATTCTCTAAAAAATATATAAAATTAAAAAAACCTTTACTTTAATTAATAAAAAATTTCCATAATATTAAAATAATTCTCAGTGTAAGCAACATATTTTTTGTTATCCTGTCAAGGGCTTGGTTTTCAGTTGATTGCGTTCCTTGTGCTGAGACGATGATGCTTCCCATCAGCTAGATGATGATGATGAAGACGACTCCCTAACCTCCAGACCCTAGATTTTCCATTTTCCCACAGACGCCCCTCAGATGCCCCACAGACGCCCCACTGCCAGCCACCATGTAGGAAAGCCCCTCCCTGAAACATTCACATCCGCAAGTCAAAGTCGGAAAGCCGGAGGAGGAAGAGAAAAAGCATTTCGCCGGCTAATCCACTTAATTAGTGTTTGTGGAATATTTTCCAATATAAAATGCATGCACTGAATGCGAATAAAAAAAAAAAAGAAATCCAATAAAATTGCGGGAAAAGCTTGGACAGAAAAGAAATAAAATAAAAAGCAAAAAAAATAAAAAGAGAAGAATGGAAAGTGTTTTAACCGCCAGGGGAGCATGCAGGTTTTCCGGGAAAGCTTTCCTAAGCCAAACTAATAGCTTTATTATATAACATCCTGGCAGGGCTATAACTTTTTCCATCAAGTCCATCAAATAATATTATTTACTTAATTTATTCGAATCACAGATCGTTTTCAATTAAATCGAATATTCGATTGCATTTCAATTGCATTTAAGTGCGACAGGGGGGGGAGGTGAATTGAAGGTGTGGCAAGTCCTTGTGGAATGCGGCAAAGGAGTTATCAGCTAGCTGAACACCAGGATTATGTCGTGTCCTGGCCAATTACAGCTTAATCTTCATTCGCAGCCACTATTGCATTGCGGAAAAACCAAGAGGATATCCGTGGAAAGACCAGGAAAAACCAAGACCCAGCCAGGATACACCAATAAGGACAACAGGAAAAAGAAAAAAAACTAAAAGAAATAGAAAGGACATTCGTTGGAAGTCTTGGAGGGTAAATAGAGGGAAGTCTTAATATTAAAATATTAATTTTAAGTTTAAGAGTTTCAAATTATCCTTTTTTTTCTTGAATAAAACCTTAAAAAATTAATAATTATTATTAAATCGATGAAATGAATGAAATTTTTATAGCCTCCTAAGCCAATAAATGGCTCTGATTCTCTTCTTATAAATACGGAATCGATAGATTTCATAGTGCTACCTCCTTGGCATGAATTTCCACAGGAGCTCGACCTCCTGGGCGCGTGGGAAAGGACAATGAGAATGGAAAGCTATGGGTATGGGTATGGGTATGGGTAGCTAGTAGCTGGCTGTTGGCCAGGTCAAGTGGTGGGCGTGAAGGCTGATGGGAGGAGAGGTGGGGAGGGAGGTGTGGCATTGTCGTGGGTGTCGGGATTTTACAGTGCAACCGGCAGGTGTTAATTACCACGGCAATGGGGCGAGCGTTTAATGCAATGCCATTTTGTACGTGCCGTGCATAAAGTGGCCAGCTTGGCAATTAATTGACCTGCCCCCCATAGGACCCCCCCCACCTAGTCTGAGAGAAAAATAATATATACTCACTTGAAGGTGTCGCGACTAAAATTCTTGAAGATATTGCATTCGGGATGTTCCAGCAATCGGAAGGCAATCGAACAATGATGATTCTCCAGCGGTGAGATGTCATTGTATCTTTTGGGATGTATCAATTGTATCTACAAGATAAATCTGAAAGATCTAGACAATAAACATACCTGAGTGCCAGCTCGGTGCGGGCATTAATCTGGTAGATATTATTGTAGCCGGGATGATCCAGGTCGTGGCAGATGCAGGAGACCAACAGAATCAGACACTCCAGATCGCCCAGGCGGCTCAGCAAGTTGGCCTGTCTTGTAATGGCATACATCTGTAATAAAATATGAATAAAATAATTAAAATCTTAAATAAATAAACTAGCTATTAGTCTCTAAAATGGCTAACATCATCGATCTAACCATTTATCTCAATGGCTGTAATTAGTATTGGCAGCTTAGCATTTAAACTTATCCCGTGGAAGGACCTGCATGGCAGGTGTAACTTAAAGTCCTTCCTTTCCACCTTCTTGACGGCTTTGCTCAACTGCTGCTCCTTCTGCTTAGCCCTTCTCACTGCCACTTTCTCTACTTTCTCCACTTTACACTCTACTTTCTCCTCTTCAGAGGCGAACTTAATTTGTCTGCTGTGAAACCTTAGCAATTACCAAAGGAAGGACCTGTCGATGGTGCCCATTTAAAGCCAGAGACGGAGGTGGTTTATATTTTTAAAGGGGTATTGAATATCCTTAAAAATTAAATTAAATTATTATTCTTAAATAGAGAATCTATTAAATTAAAGGTCAATGATTAAAGATACTAAAGGAGTAATATCTTTATATCTAAAAAGTTGTAATCCTCATCTTATACCTCATTCTAGATAATATATCTTCAAAACTTGTTTCTTAAGACCCCCTTTTTTTTTGGTAGCACTACCCCCTTTGATTTTCCGGCGTCCTGAAGTGCCATGGCACTGCCGCTGGCAAAATCGTTTGCTGCAAATGAAGATGACTCGGCGGCAGGACCCTCAAGGAATTTCAACAGCGTTCAATTGAAGCTCTTCGAAATACAAAAGCAGCGCAAACTTTCCACAGCTCTCTTTCAGTTAAAGTTCCTCCAAAATGGGAGGAGGGAGGCATCCTAGTGGGTGGTGGTGTTGCAGTTGGTGAGACTTTGGGGTCTCTGGTCGTAAAAGTTGTTGCACAACTTTTGCCGCCGTTGCGTTTACTTTGGCATTAAGTGCGAGTGAAAATAGGGGGGGTACTCCTCTCCCTCCACCCCAAAAATAAGGGGAGGGAAAACGAGAGGGGCGGGGGGTGCTTGGCTATAAATGTATGCAAATGCAAATGCTGTTTGCGTTTCGAATTTCGCAAGTTTATCTAAATTCATTGTCAACAAACAGACGCAGACAGAGCCAGCCCGCATACTTTAGTCCTCCCTCCCCCTCCATGCAGTTACCCCCCTTTTTGGGGAAAATTCCCTAGAGAATGGAGAAAACGCGAAACGAGATAGTGACTGAGAGGGGGATGGCATTTTCTGCTCGTTGGAAAACTTTTCAGCGGACAATAATACACCAAGGAAATCAACTGCAGCGTCAGATGAAAAGTGCAGCCAATGGAAATTAGTCAAAGTGTTTGGTCACGCCCCCTAAGCCCCAAGCCGCCCACTTTTGGGTCCGCAATTCCCCAAAGTCAGACGGGAGGGGGGGAGGTGGGGTGGCGCCCATTTGTTCAATAATTTAAATTTACGCTCGTTTTCGATTGTTTGTGGCTCGAACCGAAAGCCGCTTAACGGCTTGACTGTCATGTCCTGCCAAAGGGTTCTGTATCCTGCGAGACACACACACACCTATACACACTAACACTTATACAAACACCTATAAAATATGCCACAAAATCTACAAATATATATTTTTTAAATATTAATAGTATAATTGACTGACTTTTAAACATAACTTTTTAATAAGCTTATGGAAGGGAAACAAATATTAAAAACATTACTATAATCTGCTGGGAATTTATTTGACTTTTTAACTAAAAAATGGTCAACAAAATAATAATATTTCTTTATTAAAAAAAATATATATTCACAAATAATAAAAATATAAGGTTTGAAAGGCTTCTATCGCAGAGTTACTAGACTTCTTAAGAGCTTCTTGATTAAAATGTATTTTTTTGTAGCTCATCCCTAATATCAGATCCCTCATAGTAGCTGTTGGACTGTGAACCCTCTATGCAAATGTTTGCCCCATTGAATTGTAAAATACGAAACAGCCCATATGGATCCTTGGAAAGCAGCATTGAAAAATAAAAAACAGAATCATAAAAAGCGTGGATTTTAGGTCAAAAATTAAAGTGTTCCATCGATTGAGTTAAAATGTCTATGACCTCAAAAGTGGGATAATTGCGAGATCCCTTAAATTCCCAAGTTTTAAAAAACCACATGATTTAAATAAGAATTTACTTTCAATTTTATTTAAAAAGCCTTCTTTGAGTTTTCTTTATTTTTTCCCAAAAACTGAAGCCAAGCCAAGTATTAAATAACAAAAATGACAAAACTAAATAATAATAGTGCTTTTGTGGGGACAACAGTGCGTATACTTGATGTCTTAACTATCTAGTTGCAGTTTCTGTCTGTGTTTGTGTCCTTGTCTTGCCTTCTACATTTTCACTCTTTATTGTTGACTTTTACTTTTTGGCCACGACCACGCCCACACCATCCTGCATCCTCCCCTGCACCTGTTTGCTATTGTTGGCTGGAAAAATAATTTATTAAAGTTCTCGTTTTGTTTCCCAAATGTCTTTGTCTTTTAGTTGCTTTGAAAAAAAAAAACAGAAACAGAAACTTGATCGGCATGGAAGTCAGTTCCTTTTATTTAAAAATATAAACAAGTACAGTGAGACCTGACTAAGAGTAGCTGCTTTCTTTTGGGATTGCCAATGCATTTTAATTTATTTCACTTTATATTTATGCTTTGGGGGAAAAGGCAACTGAGAAATTAGACTTACGAATGAAACAGTTAAGAATATAGAAGTACCCTTTAATAAGAAAATTAATATTTCAAGTTGAAGAAATCATTTAAATTTTAGTTTTAAGCTCTAAGTTTTGTTTAAATATTTTTCTAAAATTTTCTAAAAATTCCAGGGTATCTCGAGAAGTTTAAATCTCATTTCCAACACCAACAGAAACTTTCATTTGCCAAAAATGTAGGTTAAAAAAATGTTCCTTTGGCACTTGAGCAGCCAAGTGGGTCGCTGTTCTAAGTGCTCAGTGGGTGGTTGGGTGGCTGGGTGGTTGGCTGATGCTTTTTGGTGTTTGGTGGTTGGTTGGGGCAACGTCAGTCACTACTATGTATGTGTTTCTTTTATTTTTTTGGTTGGACAATGTCTTGGTGAGTGACCATTTCCCCCTGCCAGGGCAAAAAAAAAAAAGTGTTGCTATTTAAAAAGAGGAACAAATTTTGTATTTTTTCCCCACCGGTTTCTTACATTTCTTGGCCGTATCTTGGCTGCTAAAAATAGGCACTGCTCTAAGCCAAAAGCAACACAGCAAGAAAGGTCTACAATTTTATAAAATATTAAGATATTTCTCTCAAAAACTATATGAATCTAAATTTATAGAAATATATATATTTTTCTTTCTGTGCATCCTTTTTGGGTGGATTGCCCTTTGGGGGCTTGGGTTTTTTTTTTTTGCATTGCATACAACTGGGCAACGCTCATTGTGTATCTCACGGATACACAGATACACCGAGTGTACAAATACCCAAGCAGATAGAGAAATATGTGCTTCTATATAAAAATTCCCACATTATATCGATTGGAAGCCTCTTGGTCTGGCGAGGCATTTATTTCTTTACATGCATTCATTATGAGCTCCTTGGACGACATTGTAGTGGCTCCTCCATATAGAAATTTTCTGCATATATTGGTTATTATTTGAATAACATATCCTACATCTTAGAATGGGCTACGTTCAAGTATTTTATTAATACTGTGAGGACATCTTTTTATAGACACTTTTTATATGATTTAAGATTTGAAAAAAAAAACTCACCATCTGTGCTACACAGAAGCAATGCCGAAAATTGTGGAACGGCACCTCGTTGTAGTGCTTGTAGACCTCGTATAGCCACTCGCGTAGTGTGTCCACCGGAATGCTGAACTTCTCGATGAATCCCAGTTCGATGAACATCGTTTGCATCAAATGGATGACATCGGCGTCCCCCCACTCGTACGAATCGAAGGCGGGCAGGCGCAGGGCGGCCTTCACCTCATCCGAGAAGGTCGTATCACAAATTTCGAGGAAGCGTCGCTTCACCTCCTGATGCTTTGGTAGACTGCTTTTCCGGTGCGGCGGTCCTAGAGGACGTTTCGAGAGGCCTGTCAAGTATAATAATTACGAATTCTAATTTTAAAAATACTTTAAATATTTAATTTTTTAATATTTATTGCCACTGGAATGTTAAGTCCAATGTAGAAATTCCCAACATATATGTATATTGCATTCGAAAAATAGTACAAAGTAAGCACAGGGAAATGCTATACATTTATAATAGAAATATCATCCGCAGAAATCCGAGCACTCTTGTTGCTGGAATGGAATTTTAACCGGAATCCGCACATAGCCAAAACCATGGCCAACTTCATTAGGTTTTCGTGGCGGAATGGAATGAAGGCTAGTTCATTTCCCTTTGCAATCATAAAATGTTTTGATTCATTTGCAAGCTAAATTGGGGCAGAAACATTTTCCAACTTTTCCTGGATCGCACCACCTGGCCCGAGGGGTCTGTATGTTGGGGGTGGCGTGGGGTTGGGTTGTGTGTGTGGCTGTCAGGTGTGCGGCGGTGGTGGGGCTTGCCAGCTTCCGCCAGGTGAACTATCTGGTTCAGGTCACAACGGTAACATTTCTGTTTGCTTCATTTTCAGCCATTGAAGTGTGCCACCGATTGAAAATTTAATTTCCCGCCTATGGCGTAAATAAATAAAAAAAAAATATACAAAATATACAAAAAGAAGAGGCACATTCACAGTGAAAGAGAGGGGAAACTCAACAAAAAAAAAAATACTTAGACAAAAAAAAGGAAACTGAGCTACCGGTTTAGACCTGGCCAATGTATTTCCTGGCAAGTGGAGTTTGATTTTGATTTTGATTCTGGCCATGGTCCTCCGCCGTTTTGGCCGCCCTCCCCTCCATCTACACCTGGTACCTGGAGGAGGACGCCTGGCCGCTTTATTTGCAATAATCCAAATTGACCTGGCCAGAATCGTCAGACTGTGCTTCCTGTGCCAGCCCACTCTGATTTATTTATTGCCAAAGAAACTGGGAAACTGAATAAAACGAGCCATATTTCCACTTGGGTAGGCACTTTTTTAGCCAAAAAATTTTAAAATATTTCTTTAAAAAATTTAAAGAAGTGGTAATTAATAAGCTTGCTATAATACAAGACTATATAAACAAATTTGTGACCACATTGGAGAAGAATTGGGGAAGATATAGCCATCGCAGTGGACCCTATAGGGAAAAACCCCATTTCCAGGGGATCCATCAGGAAAAATGGACAAAAAATTGAAAAAATATTTTGTCTCAGGATTTTGATGCAGAATGGTGGAGAATCGATCCAGAAATCGTTTAAAACAATCCCCTAGAGAATCGGATGAGAATTGGGAAAGATATAGCCATCGCAGTGGGCCCTATAGGGGAAAACCCCATTTCCAGGGGATCCATCAGGAAAAATGGACAAAAAATTGAAAAAATATTTTGTCTCAGGATTTTGATGCAGATTAATGGAGAATCGATCCAGAAATCGTTTAAAACAATCCCCTTGAGAATCGGATGAGAATTGGGAAAGATATAGCCATCGCAGTGGGCCCTATAGGGGAAAACCCCATTTCCAGGGGATCCATCAGGAAAAATGGACAAAAAATTGAAAAAATATTTTGTCTCAGGATTTTGATGCAGATTAATGGAGAATCGATCCAGAAATCGTTTAAAACACTCCGCTTGAGAATCGGATGAGAATTGCGGAAGATATAGCCATCGCAGTGGGCCGTATAGGGGAAAACCCCATTTCCAGGGGTCCCCTCAGGAAAAATGGACAAAAAATTGAAAAAATATTTTGTCTCAGGATTTTGATGCAGAATGGTGGAGAATCGATCCAGAAATCGTTTAAAACGATCCCCTTGAGAATCGGATAAGAATTGTGGAAGATATAGCCATCGCAGTGGGCCCTATAGGGGAAAACCCCATTTCCAGGGGATCCATCAGGAAAAATGGAGGAAAAATCGAAAAAATATTTTGTCTCAGGATTTTGATGCAGAATTGTGGAGAATCGATATAGAAATCGTTTAAGGTACTCTGCTTGAGAATCGGATGAGAATTGGGGAAGATATAGCCATCGCAGTGGGCCCTATAGGGGAAAACCCCATTTTCAAGGGGTCCCATCAGCAAAAATGGACAAAAAATCTAAAAAATATTTTGTCTCAGGATTTTGATGCAGAATGATGGAGAATCGATCCAGAAATCGTTTAAAAGAATCCCCTTGAGAATCGGATGAGAATTGGGAAAGATATAGCCATCGCAGTGGGCCCTATAGGGGAAAACCCCATTTCCAGGGGATCCATCAGGAAAAATGGACAAAAAATTGAAAAAATATTTTGTCTCAGGATTTTGATGCAGAATTGTGGAGAATCGATATAGAAATCGTTTAAGGTACTCTGCTTGAGAATCGGATGAGAATTGGGGAAGATATAGCCATCCCAGTGGGCCCTATAGGGGAAAACCCCATTTTCAAGGGGTCCCATCAGCAAAAATGGACAAAAAATCTAAAAAATATTTTGTCTCAGGATTTTGATGCAGAATGATGGAGAATCGATCCAGAAATGGTTTAAAACACCCCGCTTGAGAATCGGATGAGAATTGGGGGCGAATTATAATATGAGAATATGAGAATTATAAAAGCTTCTTTCTTTTAATTATAAGAAATATTTTAAATTTAATCTATAGCCCCACCCCCTTTTCTTTTAAATTAAAGAAGAAACCCTTAAACTCACTGACAGTAGCTGCGTTTAGAACTGCGCAGTTTTCTTTCGAAAACCAACAGTCACAACTCAGAAATGAAATGCAAAGGAGTTTTTGAAATTTCTGGCCTGGCCGAAAGGGAGAGGGTCCGGCCAAAGGATATTTCCTCGTATTACAAATATCAGAGCCCGGATGGCTTTTTGCTTTTGGCAGGACAAAGGACAAAATACCAATCCCAGTATTGGGGGGAATTTTACAGAAGGCAGAGGCCTATCCCCCTTGGACAGGGAACACTGGAAATTAACAAAGATTTCATTGTAAATGAACGTTGACTTTGGACGGGGGTGGTTGCGGAGTGAGAGGAGAAGGTCAGATAGGGAGAGATGTGGGAAATGGAAAATGGAAAACTATTCGTTTTCACCCACTTCAGAAGCGGCGACGGTGGCGGTGGCGGTGCCACTCTTCGAAATTTGATTAAAACGGTTCCCTTTGAAGTGCACCCACACAAAGTAGTGTTTGTCTGTGTGTATGTATGGGTGTGGGTGTAGGCCAAGTGCCACGCCCCCACTGGGGCCGCCCACCAACTGTTGATGGCCACCCACATGTGCTGCAAGCCAAACACTTTGCGGGCTACGGTTATAATTAATTTACTGCCACTTACAATTTTTAATTAAGCCGCCACCGCCGCCGCTGTATTTCTGATATGTGTACACATGTGGAGTCCAAGGAGACACTGAGAGAAAAATTTGGTAAAATTTAATCTCATTCAAGGTTAGCTAAGAGATTTTTTTAAAGGATTTTATTGATGATTTTTTGGGTTTAACTTATTATTAAAAGAACTTTAAGTCTTTAATAGGTTTCCTTTAAAAAAAAACTATTAATATAAACCTTTAAGGACATATATCCTTAAGGACATAGACATCCTTAGATTTCTAGACTCTAAAAAAATTCTTGCAGTGTCGCTGTTTATTTGCTTGCCTTTCTATTTGCTCACACACTCCTTGAAAGTGAAAGTTGAAAGGAGAAAGTAGAAAGTAGAAGGTATATGGCAGTAGGGAATAAGAAGTGGGTAGCCAGCAAGGAGCATCCTGTGAAAAGGGGTAATGAAAGGTTGCTTCCATATTAACTGACAGATTGATTTACAATGGCAAGGACGAGGGCCAAGTGGCAAGTGGCTGGGGGCCAGGGGCCAGTGGCCAGGGGCAAGGACAAGCCGGATAGGATAGTTAAACTCCTGCAGCAGTCGGTAATTACAAACGATAAGCGATTCGGGTGAGAAAATCTGCAGGGAAAGTCACAGAAAAAAAGGACGAAACTAAAAAGGACGAAAAAGTAAGAAAGAGAGAAAAAATGGCTATAGAAAGTAATTGGAGATTTGACTGGCAATTGAATCGCATAATTGGTCTTCAGGTCAGCTGGGGGAAAATTATACAAAAATCTGACACTTTAACAGGATAATTATGAAAAATTAATAGGAGTTTAATGAAGGATATGATTCCAGACGGGCTGTTTGTTAAAATTAATAGCAAAAGCCTTTGGATATCCTTCTTGTTTTAAATCCCTGTCATAAATGAATTTAAAATAAAACTATTTATTGGAAATAAAAGTACGTTTGTTTCTTCCATATCCTGTGCTTTTTGGCAACGTTTCTGTGTCCGCAGGTGACAGGTTGATCGATGAGTTCTGCCAAGGACCTTGATGCATTGCAATATGCATGCAAAAAAATGTGTGTGTCCTTTTTTTTCTCTCGTCCTTCCATTCATATCCTGTATTTGCAGAAGCGCGCGCTTCAGTCGCAGATGCAAAATATTAGCTGTCAATTATGCTTCGCACACATTTGTTTGGCCAAATCAATGATTGATTGATTGAACACTGACACAATAACTGACACAATAGTTTCCCCCCCTTTTGGTTCCTTGTTTGGTTATCCTTGTTGCACTTGATTAGCAATCAAAGTAATTGTGGCAATTGCAAGGACAATAAAGCAAAAACCACCTTTGTTGCTGGTTTTTATTTTCTTCTCAGGACCCTGTCCCTGTTTTTTTTTTTTGCAGTTTCGTTTGCCAATTTGCAGGACACACCGCAGGACAACCCACACAGGACGACATTTGCCGGGCTTGATAAATGAACTCAATATTTTGTGCCAAGCCGAGTTGGGCTATAAAATTTGCTGCCAAATATTGCAATTGTTGCTCCTGGGAGGTGGTCTGCTATTGTTGCACCCTTCTTCTCACATTGCGCATACGCCATGTGGCAGCTGCAACACTTTATTTCGTTCGAATCCATTCCATTCCATGCCGGGCCACCTCTTGATAGCCATTTATCAGGCCGGACAAGTTTGTGGCTTCTCCTTGGACACAGT